CAAGTTAAGCTCCAGTAGCTATAATATCAAACTGCTAAAGATGAGTTTCCTAAATAATCTATACCAAGTAATGCCACTTCAACACATTCCTTTACCTTAGTTTTAACTATCTGATTTGAACATTCCAGTGCTTATCCTTTATACTAAACATACCATGTCAGTCTGGTTTAAAGCTAACCTTTTTAACCTTATACCTTCTTCCTGTTTGGTACCTTTCCCAGTTTGACAGCTTGAATACTCAGGCTTGATGCTTTTGTAGATTATCTAAACAACTAACAATATCATCCACAGCCCAAGATTTAGTGGTGATGGGGGACTTCAACTATCCAGATATATGTTGGGAAAACACCACAGCAGGGTACAGACTATCCAATAAGTTCTTGGACTGCATTGGTGACAACTTTTTATTTCAGAAGGTTGAAAAAGCTACCGGGGGAAGCTGTTCTAGATTTGATTTTAACAAATAGGGAGGAACTGGTTGAGAATTTGAAAGTGGAAGGCAGCTTGGGTGAAAGTGATCATGAAATCATAGAGTTCACAATTCTAAGGAAAGGTAGAAGAGAACAGCAAAATAGAGACAATGGATTTCAGGAAGGCAAATTTTGGTAAGCTCAGAAAGCTGATAGGTAAGGTCCCATGGGAATCAAGACTGAGGGGGAAAATAACTGAGGAGAGTTGGCAGTTTTTCAAAGGGACATTGTTAAGAGCCAAAAGCAAGCTATTCTGCTGCATAGGAAAGATAGAAAATATAGCAAAAGACCGCCTTGGCTTAACCATGAGATATTGCATGATCTAAAAATAAAAAAGGAGTCATATAAAAAATGGAAAGTAGGACAAATTACAAAGGATGAATATAGACAAACAACACAGGAATGCAGGTGGCAAGATTAGAAAGGCAAAGGCACAAAATGAGCTCAAACTAGCTACAGGAATAAAGGGAAACAAGAAGACTTTTTATAAATACATTAGAAGCAAGAGGAAGACCAAGGACAGGGTAGGCCCATCGGTCAGTGAGGAGGGAGAAACAGTAACAGGAAACTTGGAAATGGCAGAGATGCTTAATGACTTCTTTGTTTCGGTCTTCACCAAGAAGTCTGATGAAGGAATGCCTAACATAGGGAATGCTAGTGGGAAGAGAGTAGGTTTAGAAGATAAAATAAAAAAGAACAAGTTAAAAATCACCTAGAAATGTTAGATGCCTGCAAGTCACCAGGGCCTGATGAAATGCATCCTAGAATACTCAAGGAGCTGATAGAGGAGGTATCTGTGTTCTCCACTCACTAGAGACGCCACTTCAGAGATGCTTGAGCAGATCTTCACAATTTATTGTAATTTACTTTGTTTTCCCTGTATGGCTTAATCAACAATAAAATAATCAACTTGATTTTCTGAAAAATGAAAGATTTAAAGGAGCTTTACTGTCAAAGTAGATTTTTTTAAAGAAAAAAACAAGGACAGCATATTAAAAAAATGTTTCTGTTTTTCTCCCTGCCCCTCTGTTGATGTTTATAATGGTACTTTTAGAAAAGAAGAAACTGCCTTTATACAAAGTGCTATTTAATGTATAAAATAAACAACCTGTAAAAAACAGTTTTTTTTTTTGCAAGTACTTTTAAGTTAGAGCCGTGGTCCCCAACACGGTGCCCGCGGGGGCCTTTGTTGGCGGCGCCCAAGTGCTCAGGGCTGGCCTGGCCCTGGGCACGTGGCGCATGCGCGGTGCCGGAGCCGGCCCTGGGCACGTGGCGCACTGTGAGCGCTGGGTTTCTGTTTTTCTCCCTGCCCCTCTGTTGATGTTTATAATGGTACTTTTAGAAAAGAAGAAACTGCCTTTATACAAAGTGCTATTTAATGTATAAAATAAACAACCTGTAAAAAACAGTTTTTTTTTTTGCAAGTACTTTTAAGTTAGAGCCGTGGTCCCCAACACGGTGCCCGCGGGGGCCTTTGGCGGCGCCCGCCAAGTGCTCAGGGCTGGCCTGGCCCCGGGCACGCGGCGCTTGGGGGAGGAGGGGGGAGAAAGCGCCGGCCCCGGGCGCGCGGCACTTGGAGGGGAGAGCGCCAGCCCCCGGAATGCGGCTATGGGGGGGCCCTGCCCCCTGGGCGAACGGCCACGCCCCCTGGCGCCCCGCAACCCCAAATGGTTGGGGACCACTGACCTAGACTATAGTAAGGCACTTGATACGGTCTCGCATGCTATTCTTATCAATAAACTAGGCAAATACAACTTAAATGGGGCTACTATACGGTGGATGCAGAACTGACTGGATAACTGTACTCAGAGTAGTGATTAATGGTTCTCAATCCTGATGGAAAAGTATAACAAGTGGGGTTCCCCAGGGGTCTAGTTTTGGGACCGGCTCCCCTAGTTCACTGTGTAATTCTGTAAAGTGTAACTGAGTTCTATTAACCACACTGTGTAAATTGTATAATCTCGTGTTGTGTAGTGGTGTATTAAGGCCAAGTATAAGTGTTAGAAATAGAAACCCAGGAGTTGTTAAGTTGTAGAGGTAAATTAATGACTAACTCTACCAGCTGCCCTAAAATAACCATAGCGGGGCTGGCTGTGGACGGAGTTTTTATTATCATTATATTGACTTTGTTTTTGTATTTTTTGCTGGCATGCTGCGCTGCCTTAAGCAAATTAGAAATAGTGATTTAATATAATCGAATTATAATCACAAAGTTTATAATCAGTTAAGTGCAGTTTGGTTCAGTTTTTCCCTCCTGTAAAAGCACTAGGCAATTACTTCTTAAAAACTCGTTTTAAAGTCATTTGGTTTTTATAAAAGAATCATTTTTGCTTAATAAAAAAATCATTTGTTTCACTATCATCCAGTAGTTTTCACTGGGTAGTCAGCTTTAGCCCCTAGGGGCTCCCATCACATCACCAAACCAAGTTGCGACATGACCTACAGATCTGAGTGCTGATAAGGGATTTTGAGATTTCTATTCTAAATTTTGATCAAAAAGGGTGTCATAAGGAGGAGGGAGAAAACTTGTTCATCTTGGCCTCTGAGGATAGAAAAAGAAGCAATGGGCTTAAACTACAGCAAGGGAGGTTTAGGAAAAAATTCCTGTCAGGGTCGTTAAACACTGGAATAAATTGCCCAGGGAGGTTGTAGAATCTCCATCTGTGGAGATATTTAAGACTAGGTTAGACAAATGTCTATCAGGGATGGTCTAGACAGTACTTGGTCCTGCTATGAGGGCAGGGGACTGGACTCGATGACCTCTCAAGGTCCCTTCCAGTCCTAGTATTCTGTGATTCTATGATACAAGCATTTTTATTATGTTGAAGTTACTTTGGCCCAATACAGTCAATTTTTGCTTCCTTCTCACTCATGATAGCTTGATATAGACACAACTAATGGAGTTTGAGCTCTAGATGTAACATTCTGATTAGGGATGTTAAGAAGTGTGTAATTAATCATATAGTCAACAAATCCTTTGTCAGTTACACGATTAATCGATTAGGGTTAGCACTGCAAGCCCTCAGTCCTGGCTCATGACGGTTCCCGGCGACTACCCCCACTGCAGCTCCGCACTAGCAGCACTTTCAGAGCTGGCAGGCAGGCATGCTGGTTCAGTCTCAGCTTGCACTGGGTCTGGCATCTACCCCGGCTGCAGCTCTACATAGAAAGGTTTTGCAGAGCCACAGCAGGGGTAGCTGCTGGACCGGGCGCGAGCCAGGACCGAGCCAGCACTACTGTCCACCCACTTCCAAAATACTTTAAATGCAGAACAACAGTTGAGGGGATGGGTTGCATGTAGCCAGTAGCATTCATCGATAAGCATCTGCTTATCAGTTAATTGTTTAATTGATTACATCGCTAATTCTGATCAAGGCAGAGGTAGCTTGTCCAAAATCTACTATTTGAAACAAACACACACCATGTATCAAAAATATATATATATTTTACCATTTGGGAAACAGATCTCCGAAAAGAGGACAACAATCACAACATATTTTGAGGTAAGGTTTAGTCACAAAGCACTAATATATCTAGCTGTCCCATCCTTACCAAGTATCAAATGCTACAAAGATCTTATCTAGTACTCCAAAGACTTTTAAAATAGGGAACATTGATAGATCTAGGCTTAAGCTTTTATTTTAACAGTTGGCACTTGAAGACAACACACACAGTGGACTTGTTTTGTAGTAGCATTTTTTTTAAACAAATACGTACAACAGTCTGACTCTAGGCTCCCATGTTTACTACTATTCTAGTTGGAGAAGGCAATGCTGATCCCTTAAGCAGCAGCATGGGGAAATTAAAACATTTAAAAGCTATTGCAAAGCAAATACTATTATATTTCATTTTTTAAAAATCACCCCTTTTCAGCTAATCTAGGAGGAATTAAGCCACATATAAAAATTGGTCCATTTAATATCTGAAATTGTGGACCACCGCTTTCAATTTTTTAATTTTTATTGGTTTCTGATTGTAAGTACCTTTTTCAGTCCTACTTTTACTTGGAATCATCAAAATTGCCAAGACTGTAGCTATCGTTATTATTTACTATTTTTAAAAGCTTAAAATCAATTTTTTTTTTAGTGATTAACTCTCTGAATTTAATGACAGGAATCTGAAGTAACTACTTCAGTCTTTCTAAGTCAGATACACTGTATCTGCAATGGATATTTACAGCCATCAGAAGTTTAAATGTCAGACTATCACCATGATATTGTGGTATGCAACTACTAGTTCAACTAGTTCAAATCAATTCATTAGCACATTATTATCCGTAGGTAATCATGATGAGTTGACAAAGCACTGTCAACATCTACAAGCTATGAGGCAAAGTAACTGATAAAATAGTATTTGTTTTGGATTCTTCGCAAGCCACGTATGAACAAATTCATACTGAAGGTTCAAGTGGAAGAACAGTTTATGGGGATGGAGAAATGTAAAGTTATTTGGCATCAAGAGGCCAAATCAGCTGTTGAGGCAGAGGAATTTTCACACATAGGGAAGACACCAAGCCATGAGGGACTTCTTAGATGCAATGCAGCCAATACAGCTTCCAAACATTCAGAGGGCTCAGCTTTCTTCATTTCATTATTACTTGTCCTTGGGTTCATCTGCATCACTGGCATCCGTCTCACTGCTCTGCGACAGGTCTTGATGGTTCTCTGCTTTGTTCAGTTCCAGAAAGCCACTAATGAGCTTGGCAACTGCTTCCACATCACTATGGAAAGGAACAAATGATGTCTGAATTAATGGAAATGGTGCTGATGAGCAAGAGCACAAGCACTCAGTGCTGAATTCATAGCTAGCTGAAGCCCCAGTCAGTGTGTGGAATAGGACTAGATTTATAAAAACTGTGCGCTAGTTTTTCAAGCTGCCATAATAATCAGAAAAGTGAATGAAGTGGGTCTCCACGAGTTCCATTCTCCCAATGACTTTCAGACTTGGGGTACGTCTAGACTACATGCCTCTGGTGACAGAGGCATGAAGATTAGACTACCCGGCATAGGAAAATGAAGCGGCGATTTAAATAATCGCCGCTTCATTTAAATTTACCTGGCTGCCGCGCTGAGCCGATCAGCTGTTTGATCAGCTGACCCGCTTCATTTTCCTATGCTGGGTAGTCTAATCTACACGCCTCTGTCACCAGAGGCATGTAGTCTAGACGTACCCTAGATGAGGTTTCCCATTCACAAGCCAGAATATTTTCTAACAGCTCCTGCATTGCATTCCCTTGAAAAAATTATGAGAAGTCCTATGGCACCTTATAGACTAACAGATTTATTGGAGCATAAGCTTTCGTGGGCAAAGACCCACTTCGTCAGATGCATGTAGTGGAAATTCCAGAGACAGGTATAAATATACAGGCACATGAAAAGCTCTTAAGCTAGAAGTGGGCCACATCCTCTCTGACTGAACAGACCTTGTTATCTCTGGCCTTCCTCTTGATTGGTACTCCTTTCTTTTCATGTGCCTGTATATTTATACCTGTCTCTGGAATTTCCACTACATGCATCTGACGAAGTGGGTCTTTGCCCACGAAAGCTTATACTCCAATACATCTGTTAATCTATAAGGTGCCACAGGACTTCTTGTTATACAGATTCAGACTAACTCTCATACTTATACCATTGAAAGCTGAAGAACCTGTGGAATTCTGTTTCTTATCACTAGTAATCAAAATTCCTCATTTGGTTAAAAATTCTGCCTCCCTCTCTCGTGGTTGCACTAGTTCAGCAGAGCTAACAAAAGAGGAAAGAAAGAATGAGGTTACATAAACAGTTCTAACTTGAAAACACATAGGGAACACCATTTTTAGGGAGTATAAATGCACTTGAAATTGTTTGATCTATTTGGCTTTCAGCAGGTAAAGTTATTGCTACTGAAATACAGTCTAAAACAGGGTTCCAACCCTATGATTCTATGATTTTAAGGTCTCCCATTAAGTCAATTACTCTCAAATGATTTATCTAAAGCCTTTAAACGTTTTGTAACTAAATGTCCATTATTACACTCAACCTATTTGAAGGCAGCTTATGCTCTGACAAGCAAAGCTATACTGTGACCTCTCTGCATGTGTTTCCTTCTCAGGAGAAAAAAAAAGATTAGCTATAAAAATAATGCCTTAGAAACAGCAGGATGGAAGCCCATCTTTTCTCTCCTTAAAATTCACCTCTGTTGTGAGTATTTTGTAGGCCTCAACAACAGCTGCACTCCTCATTCTTGTTACACTTCTAAATCTCATTCCCAGCTTGTGTTCTCCTCTTTTTCCTGTATCTTGTTTAAAGATTGTGAACAATTTGGGACAGAGACTGTCTTTTTATGATATGTCTGTACAATGCATATCACAATGAGTCCTCAATATAAATACAGCAATAATCCACAGGCCTTTCTTCTCGAGACTGAACTACAAGTAATACAAAAAAATAAAGGCCTAGGATGTCTAATATTGTAGGTCTCACTACCACAGTTCTTATTCTCAAATGCCTATGACTCAAGTAAGTTAAGTGTTTGAAAATCATAACTTAATAATCCTAAAATTAGAGGAAATAAGACTACCAACAGAGCTGGGACAATTCTTTCAAAAGCCTTCTATAATTCAGTCATTGGCCCTAAAGTTAACACCTATTCCTCTTATACACACACTCAATCGAAAAGAATAGCTCATACCTTCTACAGCCCAGCACCGCACTCTGGGTCAGAGGGTGGGAAAATCCAGTGACAAATCGTAGCACTACCAGGTAACCCTTCCCAAAATAACGCACTTTCTCCTCTTCCACATTGACATCTCGAATCTCATGCAGTGGAGCTGCCACTGTTAGCAAATGCAGGGAAGAACATCAATCAGTATTAAAGCTATAGTAAGATGAGTGCCCAAAGCATAAGCCCATTTATCACAGACCTGGTGTGAGGTCCGAGGCCTAAGCACAATGGTCAAAAAGTACTAAGCTGTAAGTGCATTCTAGAGAAGTTGTAACAAAACACCTCATGAAGAAACATCTTGGTACTAACACACACCTCACAGATAACAGGGACATACCGACTGAAGTTTAGGACAGGGTCTAAACCAGTGGTGGACAATAATTTTTGATGGGGGGGAAGGGGGAAGGGCACTCCAAGATTTTGGTAAGTGGTCAAGGGCCACACTTTTGTATGGAGGGAGTGCGGGGTTTGGGTCAGAGGTTGGTTGCAGAAGGGAGCTTGGGGGTACAGGGACTGGGCTGCAGGAGAGGGTGTGAGGTTTAAAAGAGTTTGGGTGAAGAAAAGGGGTTGTGATCTGGGGAAGAGGATTGAGGTGCAGAGTCCAGGAGGGAGTATGGGTACAGGAGAGGATTCCAGCCTGGGGGAGGGACGTAGCAGCAGGTGCAGGGTCTGGGAAGGAGTTGGGTATGAGAGAAGATGGGTTGCCCGAGGCAGGCTTTGGCCAGAAGGTGCTTACCTAAGCAAGGGGAGCAATGAGTCGGGAGGAGAGAGGGGTTAGGGTGCCAGAGGCAGGCTGTGTCCAGGAGGTGTTTACCTAAGCAGCCCCCCCAGCAGGTCCAGACCACTGGCTGTGCACTTGACTCTCTGCCATGCAGGGAGGGGGAAGGAGGGAAAGACTTCAGTGCTGCCCCCATGCCCCAGCAAAATCTCTCAACTCCTATTGGCCAGTTTCTGACAAATAGGAGCTGAGATATTTTGCTGGGGCTAGGGGCAGCACACAAAGCCTCCCCCTCCCAACCACTGCACAGAAAGCCATAAGGAGCAATTAGACACTGGGGGTGAGGGTGGGGGCAGGAGCTTGGTGGGATTAAAAGGCTTGATGGGCTGGATCTGACCCATGGGACAGATCTTGCCCTCCCCGATCTAAACTGACAACCCAATAGAGAGAGATCGAACTCCCATGTACAAAGTAATGGGTGGCACCTAGGTACCGTAATAAGATGGCACCCTGATACACCAGGAGTGATATATAACTTGTTTGTACCTATATATAAAAATATATCTAAAAAATATATGTCTTTGTATATGCCCTATGGGGCAGTACTGCATCACTGTCACTGACGGAGTTGAATCCACTGTAATGAGCATACATGTGTTAGCTTAAATGGGACTCTAAGCTCCCCCTCTCTGCTTTGATAATAATAATGAACCTCCAAGTGAAGCTTCAGTGCTGCTGTTCTCCTCCTACTTAGCTGGGTATGTGCTACACTGCACTGCTGGGATCTCAACCACCACCTACTGCAGACCTGTTTGCAAAGCAGAATGCACCAGCTGCTATAGTTTACTCAATGAACTGGTACAGCAGCCCAAAGATCAGCAATCATCCATTTATTATTGATGCTTTCCTACCATTTCCCCCCTCTTAATGACTGTCTGAACTGTTTCCTGTAACAGGTAGTTAACAGCTGTTCAATGTATTGAGACTGAGCAGGTTTTGAAAGATTTGCTATTCACACTAGTCACTTTCAGAGCATCTCCTGGCTTGAGGTCCCCATGTTAACAGCATTTTCTGGTTATGGTACAAATGCCTATTCTCACAAAAACATTTGCCTTGTGTTCAGGAGGAAAAAAAGGGGGGGGGGGGGGGGGAGTTCATGAACATTAACACTCATTTCTTCCTTCCCCTCCCCTAAAATCAGTTTGAAGTTTCATCATAAAATTAAGGTGGTTTTAAATGCTCTCAAGCCACTAAAAGCTCCCAACTATTTAAACATATTATGAAGCAGTCTGATGTTTGGAAGTCAAGAGCCTCCCAGATTCTATTTCTAATTTTGCCAAAGCTCTCCGTGACCTCAAGCAACCCTTAACATGGGTTTGACTTCTGTCACTGCAGCTATGATAGGACTCAATCAAACATGGGAAACTAAGTGGAAACCAGATACTGAGCTTTTAAACTGAGCTTTCCTAGATAAATTCATCTTTTAAAAACAGGTATTGTCTTCTCAGAATAATCTGCTCAGCACTGTGCCTAAAGTTGATGAAATAGCTCTAGAATAGTTTATTAAAAACCTGCACATAATTCCTCCTTCTCTGCCCAGTTCTCACACTTGGTACACACAGAAAAACTTATTTTCTTACCTTGTTCAAGGCCTGCTTTTGAGAGAGTCAGTATTTTTTTGTACAGGTTGAATGTTTTAATAAAGACTTTTCCCTTGTCCTTGTCAAATATAGCTTCCTGTAAAATTACAACACGGCATCAATTTATCCTTTTCTTTTAAGTAAAAAGGGCAGCATTTACAATCTCAAAAAAATAAATAAACAACCCAACATTCATCTATAACAGTAAGTTTGTTTTCATAGAACTAAGAACTTAATAGTTTTAATTCTACTCACTCCTATCTCATTGCTGGATTATGAAGTCAAAATATTGTTCCTGGATTCCCCTCAATCCCAGGACTTCCCTGGATCTCACATGCACTTTCCAGGAGAGTATTTAAGTGGTTTTATTTTCCTGTAAAATGTGCTTGGCATTAAGCCAATTTGCCTCATCTTGCAGAAACTGAAACTTGCTCTTTTACTATGTATATGGTTGTCCCACAATCCCCAAACGATAGAAAATAAAATCTACACACACCCTTCATCAACCACAACAACAATTACCAACCCAGCAAAGTTTTGGACTTACATGTTATGGCAGGGGTGGGCAAAATCAGGCCCAGGGGCCAGATCCAGCCCACCAAGTATTTCTCTATGGCCCACCCAGCTTATTAGCACAGCATGCATATTTACAGCCAGCAGCAAGTAGTCAGCTGCCCCTCCCCCCACTTTGCTCTGTCCTGCAGATGATCTGCTCCCAGGATTCTTGGGCTAGCTCTATATGCAGAGCAGGGATAGGAGATAAGGAGATAAGGAAGGGAGAGCTGAAGTCAGGGTGTTCCTCCGCCTATCTCTGCAGAGCAAGAATGGGGAAGAGGGAGACACAATCAGCAAAGCTGTTCCAATCTGAAGTTTGGATGGTAAATGACTAAAATGAGATGCAGAGCCGTGAAGGGGGAAGACAACAGAGTAGGACAGATTTCCCTTAAAGAGAGCGCGTGGCTTCTCTCAGAAACTTAGCCAGCACACACACTCTATGTCACTGTCACACCCCAGCCTGTGACATACACAGTCACCATCACATACACACTGCCACACACTCTCAATCTCACACAAAGTGTCCCTCTTTTACACTCACACACACTGTCTCTCTCGGTGCCAGCCCACAACGAGGTACCAAAATTCATGAAGTGGTGCCCGGTAAAAATTATTGCTCGCCCCTGTTATGGTGATGTTTTAATTAAAAAGAAAACATCCCAAGGATTAGATGGCCCCAGGAAATGGTACGAAAATACGATGTCATTCACATCTGGATCAAGTTCAATATGGGTTAAGTACAATGACAGTCTGCCAACTGCTTGTGAAATGATGAACAATCGTCAACAAAATTTTAAAAAACTTCACAAGTAGCACTCCCCCGAGAGTGGAGAAATACTGAGTGGAATTGGAGGTAGATTTGTCCTTTAATGGATAGGCCCCTGTGTGTCACTTACAGGGACAGCATGTGTGGGAAGCCCACACCAGTAACTTTATGTGCTGTTCCTGTTCTCTTAGCTTAAAAAATATCACATATTGCAAATATTTCAAGTTATAATTGCAAAAATATTCTACACAAAACATGAAAAATATGACAGACGTTTGGCCAAGTCTTGTCTTTAAACACCAATTCACCTTTAGCAATTTTTCCCTGTAGTCGACAGACTATCAGTATAAAGTTACTCCCCACCATTAACATTTACTATAAGTTATCAACATGGCTATGTTTCTCAACATCTGACAGTGTAACTTGTTTATTTGCATTACGCAATATTAATGATCAGATGGCTGCTGAAATCAACTATCAAATACTTTCAGCCAGCACAACCCACTTCCTGTCTTCTGAATTCACAGCATGTGTCTTACCTCCCACTCTTCCAGATTCTGTACAGCCACAAAGAGACATCCAGCTATGTAGAAAAGTTTCCACCCCAAGCTGTCTGAACAATGCAAGACACACAGTTTAAATACATTGTCTCAAATGCAAGCAAAAGATAATAAAAAACACCACACAAAACCCTTCTGGAAACAAATAAGAAATGTGCCTTCCATTACAGATGTTCTCTTTTTCAACAACAGGAAGATACAGTATTTTAATAGTGTTTTTCCAGAATCAAAAAAAGCAGAAGTTATTCCATTGTAGAAAGTTTTCTGTTCTCGTTTTTAAAACACTGGAATCAGTGCTATACAGAATTTTAGCCATTTTTTTTTTAACTGACAAGATTGTATACAGTTCTGTTATGGATATAATTTTTTTCCTGTGAACTTGAGATATCCAAATACTTTAACACAGAGCTGTCATAAACATGTTCCTCCTTACTCTGTTATAATCTGTATGATAAACCCCCTTTGTGCTGCAGAGAACAAGGGTGAGAGACTGGGGATACTAATTCGTTGTAACAAATATATTTCTTCATACCAACAAAGGGAGCAGGCAGAACACTTGGCTAGGACATATATAAAATGTAATATGCTGGAAATATTTACACAGAGCAACCTGTTTTAAGTGACTTAAAGGTCTTCTCACTAAAGCTGTTAGTGAACTGGATTCAGTACATTTGGGGAGATCCCAAGGCACTCTGTTAAGAAAGGATATTGTCTTCTACAGGTGGTGCCTCACACAGATTTCAATGTATTTTGTCCTACAAAAATATATTGATTACATTGGTGGCATAAAGCACCATTCCACTTGTGTCATCTGAAACAAAGAGGGATGCTTATAGGATGCTCTGCAGCTTTTTCTTTCTTTCTTTATGGAGAGACACATTTGGTGCAATCTGATCCATTCCCAAAAGAACAGATAAAAACGCTTCTAAAGCAGAAATTTTTGACAAGCCTTGAGGATTAGTTCTCTCTGGCAGGAGTGACTTAGCAACATCTAGAGAGGATTGCTTCCATCAGAGGGACACTTCTGTTTGGTAGCAGAATTTTAACAATCCCTACCCTTCCACGGGAGTTGCAAAAATCAGCTAGTTAAAGTTTATAAAATACATCAAAACAAAGTATTACACAGTGCTAAATATCACTGTTATAAATACTCTGGAGATTTGGGGAAACAAGGCTGGAAAGGAACTGGGAGGGGGGGAAGAATTAGAGGGAAAAACATGGGATAAGCCTGGTGAAGGCAACAGGATGCTGCTAAGTTTTATGATTTGTACCAGCTCCTAGAGAGTTTATGATAGACACTTTATGAGGTTTTTTTTTTTTAAAGTACAAGACATTAAGAAGGATCAGGTGGAAACTGGGGGGAGAAAATTATGTGAACGGAAATTCCAACAGGAAAGAATAAAACTCTCCATAAAGTAAATGAACATTACCTTCACTATAGTAAGCAGCAGCCAGACCTATGGAAGATATTCCTGGAAAGAGAGGGACAAGTATGATTTAAACATGCAATTCAAGATATCTAAAAACTCCTTTATTTAATACACACATACACACACCTAAGTTACATCCACTACTTCTCATGGAAAGAAGGGCTAGCTTTGATTGCAGCTTTGCTGTCCCTTTTGATTGTTATCACTCTGAGTGTAGAGAGCAAATAAAGTATTTCTTATTAAATAAAATATGCCAATTCTCTCACTTTCACATAATTATGCCACATTTTAAAATGAGGAAACTAAGGAACCAACCTAAGGTCAGGCAGCAAGTCAATGACTGAATTAAGAACAGAGCCATTAATTCCAATTTCCAGCAAGTCTGCCCACTAAACCTTGCTTCTTCCCAAGGACAGCACCACTTTGAGTACTGAGGATATGCATATTAAAAAGGCTATTCTTAGCTGCAATATAGCCCCATTGAGCATGGTAGGCTAAAAAAACCCTGTGCATGCACTATTGGGGTACACTGGGTCACAAGGGTAGCAAAGTGCTTTCACATATCCAAGAGACAATTGCTGGATGATACCTCATGCTCTGGAGTACCTTACTTCAATTACCTGTGCCATCAGTTTGATAAAACATGTTTACATTATTAAAAGGCAGAATGGTCTAGTTGACTGAGAAATAGGATTGGGAGCCAAGATCTTGTGAGTTCTATCACCAACTCTCAATATAGTCTTGGGCAAACAACGTACCTAGTCTTTGATTCTGTTTCCCTGTATGTAAAATAAATAGGGGTAGAAACACCATACCTATCTTGAAAGAGGTGCTTTGCCTCTATACAGTGCTCTTCAGACAAGAAATGCTATATAAATGCCAAACGTGAAATCCTGGGCCCATTTTACTGAATGGGAGTTTTACTGCTGACTTCAGTGGATCTAGGATTTCTCCTCAAGAGTTTGATAGGCAGGTGTGTCTTTACGCTATCCATAAGTGTCAGCGGAGGCTAAAGTTGAGGTGATTTCACCTCTCCAAACAATACTTTCCAAAAATCTTGCAATTCATCTCAATAGGGTTTCTTTTGGGAAACATTTCTAACATGCTTTCCTTAAAACATGTGTTTAAATGGAGTCAGCCTTATACAAACTATTTGTGGCTGGCATAAAAATATAAGCCTTGGAAAAGCAGGTTACTCATTTGTCTCTTAATGTGTGGGAAAGAATCATCTATGTCTTACCAACAAAGAGAGACCAAGATCTGATGCCAGGTGACCTCTTCAAATGAAGAATGGAACTTGTACGGTTTTCAAGCCACATGTACATCTTCAGGAGAAATTCCCAACAGCCTAATAACACTCATGAACCTAGCTAGACAATGAAAAGGAGTAAGTACTTACAGGCTGTACTCTTTTTCATCCCTTTCTGTGCCCCAATATGTTAACCTTCAGTCATGTCAATCTAGATAGCAATCTCTGCAGAGCAGAGATACAGTATTCTACTTGCATGTAAAACACTTTTATGATACTGTACAATAATCATCATGGAGACTTGGAAAAAAGACAAAGTTTTGGACTACGGATGTTAAATATCGGTTAATTGACTAGTCGAGTATTCGATGGAATTTCCGACTACTCCACTAGTCGATAGGCACTTCCACATTCCCCCGCTGGGGCTCTTGTACATTTCAAAGGAGGAATGCAGAACTCCCCATGCAGCCCGGGCCAGCGGGAAGTCCTGGTGACTCTGGGCAGCTCAAGGTGTGCCAGCTTTGAAATGTGCAAGTGTCTCCAACGGGGGCTCTTGTGCATTTCAAAACCATACCGCAGCATGAAGCCCGGGTCAGCGGGGGACTCAGAGTCCCCCGCTGATCCCAGGCTCTATTCTGCTCTGCAGATTTGAAATGTCATGCAGAGCCTGGGGTCAGCGGGGGACTCCCCAGCTGATCCTGGGCTCCCCATGGCATTTCAGATGACCCAGGGGATCAGCTGGGGACTCCCCAGCTGACCCGAGTTCCGTGCAGCATTTCCCCAGAAGCCAGAGTCAGCTGGGGACTCCCCAGCTGATCCCAGGTTCCATGGAAATGCCACAGAGCCCAAGATCAGCTGGGGAATCTCCAGCTGAGTCTGGGCTCCACAGCGCCACTTTGAAACAGACTAAATAAAGCCTTAGTGCAGCTGCAAGCAAATCAAGTAGTTTATAAAACAGACTCTTCTTAAAGACATACTGCATTCTTGCCCTTAGATAAAGCAGCTTTATTTATCACTACAGTGATGACCACCTGAATGACATAATGCTAGGGATGTAAAGGATTAACCAGTTACCTGATAAGCATGGCCCTTACCAGCAGAGAGCTGCCTGCTGTGAGAAACCCAGTGCTCTCCCAATCCTAGGTTGGGCTGTGAGAGGAGGAGAGTAGATTGCATAGGGTAGATGATGGAAATAGGGAGTGGGTGGGTGCTGGCATTAGTGAGGAGGGGATGGGCAGTTTGTTTGGGCATCCTGGCTCCCATCTGGGCTGCAGCAAGTCAGACCCTCTCACTCTCAAGCACAGCAGCCCTAGCAGGGCTGGAGCAGCCAGTATAGGGAAAAGACACAGGGCTCTCTCCAGGACTGGGAAGGACGAGGGAAATGTCAAAATTTCAGGTGGGTTATGCTGGCATTCTGGGCCAAAATGTCAGCTGGGGCATGGGAGATTGGGTGCTGCTGGGGAAACTCTCATATCATTAATGCAACAGAGGAAGCTTAGTCTAACTACATCCTCTCTTTTCTTGTTGAGGCTGAGAAAAGGAGGAGTTGGTATTAATTTCCAGCTGATTGGTGACAAAATTAGAAGATCTGAAATATGCCAGAAAAAATTTTACGAGGGAAAGAACAATGTAGCACCCAATTATTTTCCACTGCTAGACTTATAGAGCAAACCCAGGGCCCAGGATCACCGCAGATAGAGGCTGCTCCGTTGGATGGCAGGATGCCTCCCTCACCCTCTGCGCTGCTGCCTTTCTATCAGAGGCAGCAGCACATAGGAAGGGCAGGAGGTTTGGGGGGGTCTGGTGCATCAGAGACAGCAGCACAGGGTGGCAGGCGAGAGCCTGTCTGCATGGGGAACCCGTTTTTAAAACCTCCCCACCCACTGCTGCTATCACCCAGCACAAGACTGCTGACTCATCCCATTCACATCCCTAGTGTGGACTTGAGAGCAGTTGATTATAGCCTGATCTCGCCCTCAAGACCTCATTGCAGCATAATCTGTAGAACCTCTGCAGATGCACAATTTGTATCCACATCCCTATCTTCAAAAAATGAGCTGCAGATATCTGCATGGACAACTGTGGATGTGGATACCCACAGACAGAAAGCAGATATCTGCAAATTTTCTGGGTTCTAACTACAAAATGTGTATCCACATTAGAGATGTACTAGTGTGGTCTAACGGATAAGCAAGGTTAATGCTATAGACTACATGCATTTTCCCTCCTGCCCTTGCCAGTACATCTTTTTAGGAGGCTGGCCAACAGCCCAGCTCAGTCCTGTATCAGAGGCAGCAGCACAGAGCGACAGGAAGCTGGTCTGCTAGGGAAGCTGGTTTTTAAACTGTCTCTCCTTGTGGACTAGCTCCCGCCTGCCACTGTGAGACAGATGCAGCAGCGCAGAGCAGCAGGGGGCTCCTCATGAGTGGAGCTGGAGTGCACTGACTGCCAGCCCCACTCCTGGGGACCACAGCTGAGTAACTGATAAGAATTCATGAGGTTAATCCACTATTCAATTAACCAATATTTAACATCCCTAATCTGCATCCACAAAAGTGAGCTGCAGGTATACACATCCGCAGACGCAGATATCTGCAGATTTGCAGGGCTCTACTAATTTGCACTCTTTGAAAATATTCAAATTATCTCCTCAGAACTCTAGGGAGGGGACAGATTAACAACACTTATTTACAAAAGCAGTCTAAATATCTTACAGTATAAACCCACCAATACAAGTCAGTGTTCTGCATTAAGATCTCCTAAAGCAGAATCCTTCAGCCCTCTTTACTGCTGTGCTCTGGATCTGTCTCCCTAAATCTTAGTAGGAAAAACTTTAAAAACAACAAATAGTCTAGTAGCACCTTAAAGACTAACAAAACAAGTAGATGGTATCATGTGTTCATAACACCATCTTGTTTTGTTAGTCTTTAAGGTGCTACTAGACTATTTGTTGTTTAAGTTTTTCCTGTTACTGACTAACTTGGCTACCCTTCTGAAGCTTTTAAATCTTAGCAGGCTTTCAAGCATCTCCTGGCCAGTTGTCAACTAAAACTCAACATGGCCAAAAGCAAGCTCTTCATCTTTCTCTGCTGATACTAGGTGAAAAATATTTTGGTCTAGAACCATGGAGGATTCACTGTTTTGTGTTTACGCTATAAGTCTAAACATGGAAAATCACATAATTACTCCTGGTATATTTCAGATATTGTAATTTCTCAACAGTTAATAAATATCAGCTCTTTTACCCAGCCTCATAGTTATCTCAATAAGGGAAGAAGGGCTTAGGCTGAGCTCCCCTCTGATGCACTAATCAAACAATGGAGTTTCCCCAACACCCCACCTCCCATGCAACCACATCCTTTATACTCCAAAATGCCAGTAAGCAGCCTGAAATATTAGCACCATAATCCCATGCAGCCTGACTCCCATACTCCCTTTCCCCCTTATGCAGCCCACTCTCCCCAGCCTCCAAACCCTCCACCCTTATGATGCCCGCTCCCCCCAAACCTCCCAGTTCCGCCACACACCCCAATCTCCCCCCTGATTCCCCAGCGTCCCCACCCCTCCAATCTCCCCTGTGCAGCCCACTCTCCCCAGCCTCCCCACCTTCCTCCATGCAGCCCACTCCCCCAACCTCCTCCCCCTTCCTCCCCCCACTGTGCAGCCCGCTCCCTCCTCCTCCCTCCCCCCACTGTGCAGCCCGCTCCCTCCTCCTCCCTCCCCCCACTGTGCAGCCCGCTCCCTCCTCCTCCCTCCCCCCACTGTGCAGCCCGCTCCCTCCTCCTCCCTCCCCCCACTGTGCAGCCCGCTCCCTCCTCCTCCCTCCCCCCACTGTGCAGCCCGCTCCCTCCTCCTCCCTCCCCCCACTGTGCAGCCCGCTCCCTCCTCCTCCCTCCCCCCACTGTGCAGCCCGCTCCCTCCTCCTCCCTCCCCCCACTGTGCAGCCCGCTCCCCCAACCTCCTCCCTCTTCCTCCCCCCCATACAGCCCCCGCGGGCCGGGAGCGGGAGCAGAAGCAGCTCTGTCACTGACCGGTTGCTGCCCACACGGCCGCGGCGCGCACAATCCGAGCGGGAGGCCCCTTACCATAGAGTCGCTCACCCGAGCGCCAAGGCGATCACAGCGAAGATTGAGCGCCGCGCGTAGAGTGTCGATACGCAAACGGGGCCAGAACGTGGGCGGCCATTTTTGGTTCGGGCAAATCTAATTGTGCCACCTCCGTAGCCATTAGCTTCCGGGGATGTGCGTGCTGCTTCAATCCAACATGGCGGCTAACTTTAACGCCTTTCCGCGCAAATCCGAAATGACGTATTAAGTGAAAGTCTTCCAGGTGCCCAAATCCAAGCTAGCGATTTACGTCCAATGCGTCCCGCCCAAATCCGAGCTGATAGTCGACTTTCAATCCTTCCTGCCCAAATCCAACATGGCGACCCACTTTCAATCTTTCCCGCCCAAATCCAAGATGGCGGGCAAGTTCTCACAGTTGCTTAAGGCCAAGCTAGTGGCTGAGGTGCTCTTGCACTGGAGGTCTGAGGTAAACACCCAGGCTGTGTCTACACTGGCATGAGTTTCCGGAACTGCTTAAAACGGAATACTATTCCGTTTTCAGTTTTTCCGGAAAAGGAGCGTCTACATTGGCAGGCTGCTTTTCCGGAAAAGCCCTTTTTCCGGAAAAGCGTCTGTGGCCAATGTAGACGCGCTTTTCCGGAAAAGAGCCCCGATCGCCATTTTTGCGATCGGGGCTTTTTTTCGGAAAAGACTACTGGGCTGTCTACACTGGCCCTACAAGGAGAATAAGGACTTATGCCCAAGCGGGAGCAGAATAGTTTTCCCGGAATAGCGGCTGATTTTGTACAGTAGAGCATCGTTGCTTTTCCAGAAATTCAAGGGCCAGTGTAGACAGCTCGCAGCTTATTCCGGAAAAGCGGCTGATTTTCCGGAATAAGTGGCCCAGTGTAGACACAGGCCCACTGCTGGGGAAACGGGGGATGGTTTTGTTGAGTGAGGTCAGTCTGCGGGACCTTGAGCTGCCGAGGTTCGGGCAATGGATCCTGACCACCCCTTCTGTGACCACAGCACTGAGAAATGGGCTGGTGAGGGCCTCCTCCTAGGAGATGGCAGAGCAAGAGTTGTGCAGCTTGCAGGGAAAGCTGGGCTCTATTATATGTGCCATGGACAGCACTGTTCAGTCAGAGCTTGTCTGTCACTGCTGTCACTGGTGTGTGCAGTTACTAAGGAGACCCCATGGTGTCATTGATGGTGACCACATAAGAGCTCACACTTATGGCACCTGTTGCCCCAAGATGCCTTATATGTAGAGTCTTACCAGTTTCACGGCTGTGAAAAACATGACAAGGACCATGAAGTAAGCCTTTCCCCAAGAAACCTGATGTCCCTTTGTTCCTAGGCATGCACCAGCAAAAAGGGTTCCTACCTCTGCCTGGGCAGGGGAGGAATTGGACTCCTCTCCATCCTGGGCTTATTTAGTCTGCAGAAGAGAAGAGTGAGGAGGGATTTGAAAGTAGCCTTCGACTAGTCTTCTCTGGAGGTTCCAGAGAAGATGGAGAGAGGCTGTTCTCAGGGGTGACAGATGCCAGAACAAGGAGCATTGGTCTCAAGTTGCAGTGGAGGAGATCTAGCTTGGATATTTGGAAAAACTATTTCACTAAGAGAGTGGTGAAGCACTGGAATGGGTTACCTAGGGAGCAAGCACAGCCAAATCATAGAATCATAGAATCATAGAATAATGAGCAAGCGGGGCCCAAGGCAGCATGTTGTGGTTGGCTAAAGAGCAAGTGGGGCCCAAGGCAGCATGTTGTGGTTGGCTGCCCCATGTGGCCAGGCAATTCCCAGCCAGGGCAGTGAGCCAGCAGCCGGGAGGGCGGGTACCAGGCAGCACAGAGCCCTGAAGACATGGGCCCAAGGCAACAGCCTTGCTCGCCTTGCCCTAAGGCCAGGTAGTAGAATCTTTGTTCCTAGAGGTTAAGTTCCAGCTTGACAAAGCCCTGGCTGGGATGATTTAGTTGGGATTGGTCCTGCATTGGGCAGGGGGTTGGACTGGATGACCTCCTGAGATCTCTTCCAGCCCGAGGATTCTATGCATTGTCACTTCTCTGCACACTGTTCTGGGTGCAGGAGGCAGAGAACACTTCTGGGTGCCTCCCCCTCCTGCAGGATGCTCTCTGGAACTGGGCAGTCACATGAGCTTTCTGCAACTGGAGGTGGAAATTGGATCAGATCTTCCTTGTGCTGTTAGGAGTACCAGGTGTGTTATTTGCTGCTGTAAAGTGTCAGTAAATCCTGTCAAGGATCACATGACCTTTCCTTATTTAAACAAGCCAATAATTGTATCTGGAAGGAGGACACATCCTTTACTGCAGCAACGGGCAACCAAGTGTAATGAGTGGGCCGCAGGTGAGCAGCCTGCAGCCCACAGTAATTCCACCTGTGGCAACATACCCTCTCTATGCCCCTTTCCCCCTCACCTCTCGCACACTGGAGCCCTGTACTTCCTCTTCTTCCTCCTCCCTCCCAACACTTTTAGAGCACCATGAATCCACTGATCACACTCCATCCCCGTTTATCCCCCTCCCTCACAGAGCTTGAACAGCCACAAACAACAGGCTTGCCCACCCCTGATGTACAGTGACTCCTCCCCCTGCAGCTGTGGAATGATGGAGGCAAGAAGTGAGTGTGGGGCAATGAGTGCAGAGCTTTTTACAGCTGGGAGATGTACCCAAGAGCAGCATGCAGAGGAAGAGCAAGTATTGTCCTTGTGGGTGGTGGGTGAATGGCTGGCTTTGGGAGGCAAGCCCATGCTCAGCCCCGCCCTTCCATACCCACAACAACTCGCTGTTCCATACCCACAACAACTCAGCCCTCATTGTGGCCACTGGCCCCTGCCCTGTGCCCCCAGATCCTCTCATTACAGCCACTGGTCCCCGCCAAAGTTCCTGCTAAGATGTGCTAAGGTTCCTGGTAAGGCCGCACACAAAAAATTCTTCCCCCGCCCACCTCCTCTTGAGAACCACACGGCAGCACTTGTGTGGCAGGCATAAAAATGTTAAGAACTAGTCGACTATCTGATAAGCAAATGCTTAGCAGATAGTCGAGTCAACTAGTTGATTCCCCCTTCCTCCCCCCCCCCGCCGCTTGCTCCCTCTATCAGATAGAGGCAGCATTGTGGGGGGGAGGGAAGAGGGGTACTTCGAAGTGGCAGCACTGCACGGAGCCCTGTACCGAGCTCCATGCGGTGATGCCTCTTTGAAATGTTGTGGTTGTGTTTCAAAGGAGGTATGCAGAAGTGCCGATCGAGTAGTCGATGGAAATTCCATTGATTACTGAACTAGTAAATTACTCGATATTTAACATCCTTAGGCAGGCAGCTGCTCCAGCGGGTGGGGCTGGCTGAGACAGTGTGGTGAGGGAGCCACCGGGACCTGGAGGGGCAGGCCTGCTCCGGTGGCTGGGGTTGTCACATGGTGGGGGGGCTGAGCTCTGTTCTGGAGCTGGGGCCGGGAACAGGATCTACCACATAGGGGAGGAAGGTGTCTGCTCCGGCAGCTGGGAATGGGACATGTTTCATGGCGGGGAAGAGAGGGTTCTGCTCCAGCGGCCAGGAATGTGTATGTTAATAAATTGGGTGCCACAGTGGCACACATCCAAACCAGCGCACATGACCTCACTATTGGTGCATAAGCCAAAACTCACTCTGCTCATGGTTGGAAAATCTTAGAGGGAACACTGGTCCTGCCCAAGGTTAGTGTTTCCCCGGAGCAATTGGGCAGCTGCACTATGGACCCAGCCTCCCCTGCCATCCGGGCAGCCACACGGACAGTCATTTCAGCCTATTGGACCGGTGGTGGACACCCCTGTCTTTTTGGGATAGCAATGCCTTCCCTTGCCTACATTACCCACGCCCATGATTGTCCTTCCCAAGCTTGCCAGGGCTAACAGCTAGGAGCCCCTGGCTGGAGCACTCCCAGAAGCACAGGGGAGATCAGACTAGACCCTCCTTGACCTCTTGCAAGCTCCTGCAGCTGTAGAAAGCTCTGTGGTTGCTGCTTTCAGAGTCCAGCTCAGAAGGCACCACAAAATGAAGGTGGCAATCCCTTGTCCCCTCTACAACATGTTTGCTAATCTGCTGTTGGGTCAGGACCCCACAGTTAACAATACCATGAAATTTCAGGTTTAAACAACTGAAGATGTAAACATTACCAATTTTCAAATCTTATGGCTGTGAAATTGGCCATAAGGGACCATGAATTTGGTAGGATACTACTTTATATGCATTAACTGAGCTTCACATCTTTATGGAGATAGCTCCAGCAGCAGTCAGGTCTGGGTTCACTATCTATGGGTTCCTCTCCATTAATCCAACACAGAACTGGCTCAAGCCCCAACCCAGTAACCTGGGAAATTCACAAAACCCCCTGGGTGCTGCTGAGAGGCAATGTTTTCACACTCACAAGCACAGAATCTGAGTGTAGAAAATAAACTTAATACAAAGGGAGAGAAGTAATGTGATATTAATATGGGAAAATACCACAAAGTTCATAACCAAAACCATGAGTAAATGTCCCAGCTCAAGGTTGGGCAATGTCCTTTTCCTCTCAGGCTCTCAAATCCAGCAATGTAAATGTCCCCTTCACATGCCCAACCCTTTTCTCCATCCCATTCATATACTATACCCTTGGTTATGGTAGAGTTCACCTCACATACTGAGTGTGTGGGGCAGGGTAGAAGGCATCTCACCCATTCTGCTGGATCTGCTCACTGCTCTCTGGTGCCAGTGTTGCCCCTTGCCAACCCTGTTGGCTGCTCCTGCACATCTTCCACTAGATTGTGGTAGATTTGACTCTGGGCCAAACCTAGTGATCTCAGCACTTAGCCCAAAGCACAGTCCAATTAGGAGAGATTCCATCAGCCACTGGAGTAAATGTACATACAAAAGAGTCTCCTTAGGGAGCCTTTCTTTAACTCTATCATTGAAACAGTGGGGAGAAACAGGTCAAACCAGTCTGACAGCTCTCACCTAAAGGACATGCAGCCTGCTGACTCACCTCTCTCCCTAGATTAATCTAAAGGGCTCTGGAAGTCCAGCATCTCTCCATGCAAGATTTTTTTACACTGACAATTTCTCTCTTTTGAACTGAGTTAAACACAGTCTGACTTTTCTGCATTCACAATAAATGCCAGCATTGGTGATCATATCTTACAGTTAGGGTTAACACAGTTTGTGAGCCCACAATAGCCAAATTGGTTACAATGGGCAAAACGCCATTCTAACTGTTGAATATCTAGCAGGCCTAAGCAAATTGAGTGAACTGTAGTGACATAACCACATCTAGGATTTCTTTCCCATTCCAGCTGGCTATAAGGAGGCATTGATTCAGACCCTCCTTAAACTTTAAAATGTAATAGGTCACAAAAGGGTAGTGAGGCATGTAAAATCACATGTCTTGTGCTTACTAAATCATGAAAAACAGAGCTCCCTATGGGCAGGGTTGTGCAGCCCAGGCAGCCCTGCTACCCCACCAGGCTCTCCCTACTCTCCCCGCAAGTCAAACACTGGGACTGAGGACTGGAGAGAGTGGTTTGGGCTCTGATTGTTGGGCATGAGGGCTTCCATGGAGCAGGGGCAACCGTGCCCATTACCTCCACAGGAACCTTACCAGTGGTCGGCAAGATCCAAAGCCTCTCCCCCCAGCTGGCCACTGTCTTATACAGGGCTGAGCAAAATACAGCCTGTGGGCGAGATTTGGCCTGCCAAGCCATCAGATCAAGCCCACGGGAGCCTTAGCCAAGCTCCCTGCCTGCTCCACCCTTGCACTGTACCTGAGTAAAAGCTGGCTGCAGGGCCACCTGCTTCTGTGAATGCTGCAAGCTCAGGGAGAGGGGTAAGAGGCTTCTCACACTGCTCCTATCCCAGCACAATCTTGCAGCTCTTTGCAAACACTGTACCTGTTTGCAAAGACAAGCAGCATTTACAGTACCCCTCCTTCTTCCCCCCCTCCTCAGGTTCAGAGCAGCACATATGGCTCCTCCGGTGGACTGCTCTGAGCACGTGCGGAGGCAGGGACCCTAGGGTTGCTGGTCAGGAACCACCCGGGTAAGCACCTCCTGGCCAGAGCCTGGCTCTGCCGCCATAGCCCTTCTCTCCCCCAACCCTCTGCCCCCTACTGTATCTCTACCCCACACATCTCAAACCCTCTGCTCTCCTGTATCCATACCCCTTTCCAGATCCTGTACCCACACCTACACCTCTCCTCCAGGTCACAACCCAAATCCCTAACCCCTTCCTGCAGTCCTGCCAAGGTTACAACCCTCTGCACCCCTGCCTCAGGTCAGAATCTCCTTCTTTACCCATATCCCCGTACTAGACCCTGCACCCCTATACCCTTCCTGCAGGTCAGAATCTTCTCCTGCACCCATACCCTCTTCTGGACTCTGCATCCCAATCCCCTACACCGGGTCACAATTCCCTTCTTCACCCAAACTCCCTCCCAGATCCCACCCCACCTCATGCACCCCAATAGCTTACCCCATCCTCCTTTCTGCCCCTCGACTCCATCCCAGATCCCTGCATCTCCTCCATTAATATGAAATAATGCTGTCCTTGACCACTTACTAAATTTTTGGAGTTGCTCCGCCCAACAAAAATGATTGCCCACCCTTGATCTTACAGGTACAGCTGCCCCTCTGTGGTCATCCTGCTGTACAACTGTGCCTGCTAGCAGACCTCTCTCTTAGAGTTGTAAGAGAAACAATCGCATTCCAGGCACATCCCTGGTACAACCATACCCTGGACCTTTTTTAAAGTTTGGATAAGAGGAAGCTGCATAGCAAATTGAGTAGTCCTAGCTCCTATTCTTTAGGAGTTCCTGAACAAATGGACAAGCAGACACACAAACTCTCTCTGTAGTAGAAGATTGGACTCACTATATGTGTACTAGGCACAGCCTTCGGGATCCGAGCAAGTTGGTCTACAATTTAGATAGGTTGATATATGCTCTCTTTGTTTTTAATAGAAAACAGCGACACAAAAAGCTCCCTTAATACAGAAATAACACCGAAATCCTCAAGGAGATCTGTGGTACTGACGCTAGAAAACCCCTTTTTTCTGTACGGGTGGGGAGAATGTAAACGCCTCATTTGGCTGAGAAACGAGGCTTTACCTCCTCTGCAGCAGAGAGGCGCTGTCCCTTGCAGTTCCAGACAAGTGCCTGGGACTACGTGACCGCGCGCAGGTCTACAATGAACCCTGCCGACTGAGTGGGAGGCTGCCGAGGAAGCAAGCAGCTCAGGGCACGAGCAGGACGGAATGACGGTGTAAATAATAGGTGAAAAAGAAGAGCGCTTCTCTTGCTTTTCTGAAGCCGCTGCTTGCCTTCCTGCCCTTGTCGCTCCGGGTCCCCCAGAAATGCATGGATCTGCACGCTCCAGACTTTAGATCACGGTGTTTGATTTCCACAAGGGACATATTACTGTAGGTTAAATGAAGTAAGCGGCAAGGTACAGTATATGAGTCTTTTCGCTTCTTTTTTCAGTCTTCTTTCATTCCTTCAGCTGCATGGGGATTTGGTTGCAGCCCGTGATTGCATGTCTCTGTGTGTGTATAGACATAAAAATGTCCCCCCCCCCCTTTGTTCTGCATGTATGGGGCCAAGCAAGGCACTGCAGTTGTAACGATGGGAATTGAACTGCGAGCCTTGTGCTGACTTTGCAATTAAAAATCTTTAGTTAGTGAGATGAATCGTTTCATTGCAGTCTCAGAATTCCAAGCTTAAAGGTGGCTCACGCAGAGCGATGTGTTGTTATCCCCGGGATAAGGGAAGAGAGGTTTGTGTGCGATTTAAAAGGGGGGCTATTAAACACGTACGCAAAGAACGAGACACCGCCACATTCAAGAGACTCAAACCTATTTTTGGTATGAAAAGCTATTTTTGCTTTTTAGTTTTGGTATGAAAAGCTATTTTTGCTTTTCCGCCTGCATTGTGGAGGTGCGAACCTGTTCTCCCACTTCTTTTTTTGGTGTTCCATCAAGACGGAGTCCCGCACTGTCCATGTAGCCCTTCCAAAATTAAAAAATGAGCTGAACCGTTGGGAAACAGGCTCCTAAGTCTCGGGTCTTAGCGCAAGATGCAGTCTCTGTGTTCTGCATGTTAAAGGGTCACTCTAGGTTTGCATGTTCATTTCGCGTCAATAGCACGTAGAGCCAAAGCTTGATTTCTCTGCAAAATACAGGAATGACCAAAGTCACCGACCCCCCAGAGCAACACGTATTTGCTGCCAATTCATGGGTTGCATTCTAAGCACGTCAAGGGGATAAATACCATTAATCATGATTTCAGGCCTTGGATCTAGCACACTGATCTTCCTAAAAGCTTTTCCTCTGTAGTATTTGTTGCTTATTACAATGTAAGCAAATTCCAAAGGCGTGATAATTTTTTAAAACCGCCCCACTGTAGAGTCTGAAGCTAAAGGTTCTTCTCCCACCTACAGGAAGAATTAGCTGCTATGCAGCCAGACCCTAATTGGCTGCTGTGCATTCAGACCTTCCCACTCCCGGGCATCTCAATGGCTTTTGAAAGTGCCAATCAGGAGGAGTGCCATAAGAGGGCAGTAGGGCAGTAATAACAAAAGGCAACAGGAATTGGAAGGGAGAGCTAAGCTGGATTCTTGCTCTTTGTGCCTTTTATTGCAGAAAGCTGACAAGCAGAGCAATTGAACTCCCGTTTCCTTAATTCTGCCTATTGCATAAAGAGAATCAACACACTTCAGTAGTAAGAAAATCGCCTTTCAAAATTGAATAGACATACCAAAAAGTAATACGAAGACTCACAGATGAAGTGTGAAAACTGCACCAAAACGGTGAGTGCTGTTTTCTTATGATTTTATGCATTAGGCAGTAGTTTAATTCCACCCCAGGTCAGACACTTCCTTGATCTTATAATGTGAGGATCCTTTGTGTTTCGAGGGATTGTCATTTTTGAATAAGTAAAGCAAGTCTGGGCTGTTGCAGTGCCTTACATTTATGCAGCAGGGCAGGGCTAAGTTGCAGCCAGTGTACAGTTAAATGACTTGAATTTTGTATAATCTCTAAAACAGGGGTGGTGCAGGAGTAGAATTTGGTTACAGATAACAAGGTTATAGATAGCGACTGCACTGTACATACTTCAAAATGAGCTTGCCTCTTGTGGTCTTCTTTAGTGACAACATTGAAATACTTTTATTTCCAAGAAAGGTTTAAGTATATTTATTTCTCTGGACAAGTTGTGATGGAAATGACAGTTCACGTAACTTACTGTTGATGAAGTTTTTTGTGACAAGTTCTTTTATGCAATTTTCTTTATATTCTGATTATATTTCAAATGGTTTTATGTGACTATTTTATGGTACATTGTAGTGGTTCCCACATACTCTAGAGTATTTTTTCCCTGTTCCTTCCTTATCTCTGCCCCAATGTTAAAAATATACCCAAAATTGTAAGAGCAGTGCAAGTGAACATCCCATCAATGTTTTCCATTGTAATAAACATGGGGGAAATGTTAACACACAACATCTAAAGACATGCATTAGAAACACAAACTGAAGTCCTAAACCTAGTAAAAATATTGTTTTTGAGCACTAAGTGGTTTTAGGTTTATAAAACACATATTTTTATGACTTCTTTCAGGAATGTAGTAAAAAACAGAAAAATGATGACAAGCAAAATACATCGGTTGATGCCCTGAGCACAAATAATGAAAATGAGGAGGTAATTTCCTTTTATTTAAATCATTTAATTTTCCTGTATTATTGCTTTGACTTTTACCCTTCTCTCTTTTTTTCTTTGAAAAAATAGTTAGAATAAGAAATACTTTTATTTGTGTATGCACAGTACTTTTAAACCAAAGTTCTGCATGTCAGAGTTATCCACAGAAAACCGTCCAGAAGGTAATTGGAATAGGTGGAGCCCTGCAAATCCACAGATAACTTCTTAATATCTGCAGATATCTACTGATTAGTTTTTGCAGATGATAAATGGATGTGGATCTAAATTTTTAGTCCTGCAAATCTACAGATATCCACAGATCATTTTTGCAGACCAGATGAGGATTTTGTATCCAAACACAGGGTTTGGTTTTTCAAAAGTGCTGAGCACATAGAACTCTCATTAAAGTCAATGGGATATGCAAGTATTCAACAGGTATTGAAAGTTGGCTCATTACATTGATGATTTCTTAAGAAAGACAAACTGAAAACATAGCATTCAGTATAGAGCACCCATAAGATAATTTCTTTCAGTGGCTTCACAGAAAAAGCAGAAAAGGTTGAAATGTTTCCTCTAATCTAATCTAAATAATTAATGTTTTATTTAACAGAATTTAATATGTTGGCCTTGCGCCTGTTCTTATTGTAGCTGAATCAATCTTCTTTTTATTCCTCCAAATAAATGTGGTTCATAATTACGGAATGACATGTAGCTACCAACACTTAAAAGGACACTGTATCTCCTCTGCTCCTCCTTTAAAAATAAAGCTTCAACATTCTAAAGGCCTGATCATTCCTGGTGCTGAATGCCCTTACCTTTAAGTGAATGTATAGAGTGCTTTACTCCAGGGACTTGCCTGGATCTGGTCCCTGATGCTCAGGGCTCCCCCCAGCATTGGGGAGCCTGCGCTGGTGCTTCAGCCCCCTGCCTTCCTACCGTGGGGCTGGAGCACACAAAATCTACTAGGCAGTGGTGTGCAAGGGGAGTGTGGGGAGTGTCTTTCTCTGTCTCAGTTGGGAGTGACATGAGTGAGGGTTTTTTTTTTTTTGCTTCAACATTCTAAAGGCCTGATCATTCCTGGTGCTGAATGCCCTTACCTTTAAGTGAATGTATAGAGTGCTTTACTCCAGGGACTTGCCTGGATCTGGTCCCTGATGCTCAGGGCTCCCCCCAGCATTGGGGAGCCTGCGCTGGTGCTTCAGCCCCCTGCCTTCCTACCGTGGGGCTGGAGCACACAAAATCTACTAGGCAGTGGTGTGCAAGGGGAGTGTGGGGAGTGTCTTTCTCTGTCTCAGTTGGGAGTGACATGAGTGAGGGTTTTTTTTTTTTTGTTAGTGTGTTTCTCACTTGTGTGCAGCCCCCAATTGACTTTTCTGTGGGTCACCAGCCCCTGACCCAAAAAAGGTTCCCCACTCTTGCTTTGCTCTGAGTGCTCCAAATAATGACAATGGGATACTTGAGTAAAAGTTACTCACACAAGTAAGTCAGCGTTTGTAGGATTAACTCAAGGCTAGTCCAGTATAGAGTACAACAATTTCCATGCAAGAATTGATTCTACAAATTTATTACTGGTGCTTTACTTTTGAAAGAAAAAGGAGGAGGATGCTTGGCACTTCAAACCACATAAAATGTCTCTAACTGTAGGTGAAAGAGGCTAAATTATACCATATAACACTTTTTAGTATGAGAGTTTTAAAGGGGTCTTCTGGAAGTCTTTCTGCTTTGCAGAAGTCCCTCTTTTCTGAAACTAATATTATTCCATCCATAAATACAGACCTGTCATAATGAAACATAAAACAATGCAAATTGAGGGCTAAATCCTGGTTGCCAGAGACATGGAATTAATTTTGTTTAGGTCAGTGAGACAGTTTACCTGACTCAAGTGAGCACAGTTTGACCTTTTTCTTAGATTTTATTAAGTGCACAAAACAGTCACCAACATTTTCAGATGTGAGTGTCTGAAGTAAATTATGTAAATAAATATTAGGCATTGAAGAAGCCTGAAAAGGTAAGTACTTAAACTGCCTGTGAATTTAATGGAAGCTGTGCTCAATATCTCTGCAAATGAAGCCATTTACAGTGCCTAACTATGGATATGATTTTGAAGCTTAATTTTAAAACTCCAAGTTTGAAATTTTTTGGTACTCTCTCTCTCTCTCTCTCTCTCTCTCAGAAGACAGTAGTATCTCAAAATGCTTTGGTGTCTAATAATACAGTTTAATAATGACTGGGGCTGAGAAATCATGAGGTACTAACCAGATCATTTTCTAATTTTAAATGTTACAAACACACACAAGGGGGACAGTCTTATGTTTGTTAACAAAATACCAAAACCACAACTGGAGTTTAAATAAGTCAATGCAAAGGCCCTGAAAGTTAGCTTATCCAATCTCCTTTCATTTCCAGAAAAGTGAATTCCATAAATTGGCTAGTGCTAAAATATTCCTTAGTGACTGCCTAGCTTGTGACAACTGTGTGACATCAGAGGAAAGTGTCAGGATTTTCCAGCAGAATCAGAAGGAGCTCTTTCGCATACTCAGTCTTAACAAGGTAACGTGACACAAAGCATGCAGGAATTTGTGTGAGAAGAACGATGTGAGATAGTGACTAAGTAATTTCATTGCTCAAGACAAATCGGGACTTTGGGATATAAGAAGAGAGTGATAATTAAAAACCCTTGAACAGTATAGCACTTTAAGCACTTAATCAGTGAAAGTAAGATAATAGTTTACAGCCATTTTCTTATGAGATGTAATCTGAGGCATAAGTAAGCTATAAAGCAAAGCTTGATGATTATCTCATATCTTCAGTAATGTTAAATATGCATTTTTCAGATGTAAGAGGCATTTTGTTTTTTGTGATCATGTAAAAGTATGATGACATATGTGTTATACACATTTGAAAGGTATGTATTCAGAAGAGGATTTTTTTGCTGTATCTTGGGTTCTTTTTCCTCTCTCAAAATAGGGATGTTAAATTGCATTTAATCAGCTGATCGAGTAGTCAATGGAATTTCCATCAACTAGTCAATAAGGGGGGGGATCTGCAAAGCCGAGCCGCAGCGGGGTTAACTCACGCTGTGGCTCTGTCAGGCTCTTAATACATTTAAAAGGCAGAGGTGCAGCAGAGGGACCAGGCATAAGCCAGGAATCCGCTGATCCTCAGCTCGCATCCAGTCCCAGATGCTGCGCTTGTGCCTTTTAAATATATTAAGAGCCTTTGTGGGTCTTAATATAGTTAAAAGGCAGAAGTGAGCCGGTCCCAGACTTGAATCTATTTTGATACTTGAATCTACTGATCTTGATTGGCTTAAAAATCCAGTTTGTTGTACTCTCACTCAGGAGGCAACAGCTACTCTTTAAAAAATTATTATTAATTGAAATTGATACTGTGCTCTGCACCTATTTGATGTGTCTAAGTACTGTCAATATGAGGATTCTTCAGAATTTCTAGCCAGTTTTTTGGACTGGTTTGATTGTATGGCTTGATGTGTAAGATTGGCAAATATTTAAATGCAGTAGAATCCTTGTTTTCTTACATTTCTAATTTCTATTTAATCATCTGGTGCTGGATTTCTCTAATGTCTATTTCTGTTCTATCAACTGTCTTTTAAGTGTTCCATTGCAGTTGGTGAGGGTCATACATGATAGGTATCATGTCCTAACTAAAATACAAAGTGTACATCTTCAAATAGATGTTTGTTCTAATGTTAATTTTGCACATTAGTCTTTTTCTTCAACCAAAACCACTTGATTATGCATATAATGCATTGTTGAGTGGATTTGTTTATGGTCCAGTCCTGTTGAATGCCCTTAATTCCTGTTGACGTTACAGCCACGAAGCATCTCTCAGGATCACATCCTTAGTTTGAAGAACCAATTTAAAATGCCAAGTCTCTGTGTAAATATTAATTAAAACACCTATATCAAACACATTTGCTTCCAAGCTCTTCCCATACATTTGGGAGTATTCTGCTTCCCTTAATTATCAAAATCCAATAAGTGTTGATTCTCTAACTCTACTTGCCTACTTAATAAGCTAAGGAAAGAGTTGTCCTAGGCGGGATGGAATTCATTGATTCTTACAATAGCAGTCTTTCCAGCTGATTGACTCTCATCATTGACAGAGTCAGAAGGAAATTCCATTTCGCTCTCAATAAGAAGGATGGTAGTTGTTTCATTGATGATTTCATGGTATGTTTGTTTAAAGTGTAGGAAATTAGACGAGTGACTCTCTTGAGTATGGAGAGGGGAGGAGAAAAAACGGGAACTTTAAGCTATTGTAATAATCCACCTGTGTGCTTTGTCTGTTTTTCCAGAAATGTGATATCTCAAAACACAAAGTGTTGGCAGTGTCTGTTTGCCCTCAGTCATTGCCTTATTTTGCTGCTAAATTCAATCTCAGTGTAAACAATGCAGCCAAGAAACTGTGTGGTTTCCTCAAAAGTCTTGGTAAGTTCTGATTCATTGTTATATAGGGAGAACACAACAGGATTATCTTGCTTCCGTAACAGAATTTTGCAGAACTGCCCAGTAATAAGAGACTCTTTTGCAATTGTTTAGAATTGTTGTGGAAGGGTATATTCTGTTTGTTGTGACATAATAGTGCCCTTTCAGAAATGTACTTGATGCAGGGCAGTAGGGACTGGGAAGAGAATTTAAGGACAGTATTGAGGTATCTTCCATAGACTTCTTTAAGTCCCTTGTTTTTAATGCCTCTTAGAACAATTTGTCAAAGAAACAAATTTCCATTCTCCATCACACATGCATATTCTTGTCATTCTGTGGCCAAGGTCTGGACTGTTGACATTGACATTGAAAGTATGTCTTATTGCATCCAGAGTGTGACTGCAGCATGTATAGGCGTCTGTGAGCTACTTTAATTTAGCTAGCTTGGATACCAATAACACTGACACTATAAGCAGCAGGCACTTCAGTACAGGTTGAACCTCTCTAGGTCAGCACCCTCAGGACCTAACCGGACCAGAGAATTTGCCAGTCCGCAGGAGGTCAGTATTGGCTAGCAGCATTACCAATGCTGCCACTGCTTACTGGGCTCTTAGAAGACATTTAAGGTAAATTAGAGCTAAATAAAAGCACAGAACATTGAGAGCCAGGATTGGTGGCTATAAGCAAACTTTATGAGACTACAGGAAACTTGGACCACATCCTATGATAAGTGGACATCTGGCTAACTAAAATCATGCCAGACCACGCATGTTGCACCAGAGAATGCCACACTAGAGGGGTTCAGCCTGTATAGGCCTGCTGTCGAAGTACCCAGGGTTATAAGTGTTCTTGTATAGCCTGTGATTCTGCCGCCATAGCGTCACTGCTATGGATATCCAAGCTAAATAAAGGAAAATGGGTTTTTCTTTCCTAGTAGAGGTGTCATTGTATAGCCTGTGAGTCTGCCGCTATAGCGTCGCTGCTATGGATATCCAAGCTAAATAAAGGAAAATGGGTTTTTCTTTCCTAGTAGAGGTGTCTGATATGGCTATGAACGTAACCGGTTAACCAAAGTGGACTAGAACAGCTCCCTGCCTGCTGTGGGCAAGGGGTGCTCCTTGCAGGCAGAGGCTGCTCCAGTCATCTGGAGCAGCCTCTATGCACGGCGGAACCTGCGGTGGGCAGGGCACTCCAGCCCAGCTAGGCTGGAATGGCCCCCCACCCTCTCTCCCTCTAATGAGTTAACCGGTTAAACAATATGTTTAACTGATTAACCAATTAAACAAAGATTTTACATCCCTAGTGTCTGCTAACCCTGGATTTAGAAGAGAACTAGTTACATGTAGGCTGTCTCATTGGGGCAGGAAATTGCAAATGCACAGGAGTAGGATGACCGGCTTTTCAAAAGGCAAAAGCACCACGCATGTGACCCCACTCTTGTCTGTGCCCCTGCTCTTGCTGTTCCTCTTCCCCCGAGGCCATGCCTCTGATCAGGCCAAAAGCTGGAGCCACCCAGGAAACCTTAGCTGCTGTGGGGAGTCCTGAACCTTCCACCTGCCCTGAGTGTGGGGTCATGGTGCCCAAGAGCAGCTCCTAGCATGTGACCCTGCCCTTTCTACTCCCATGGGCACGTTGTAGGGCCTGGGGCTCCCCATACCACCCTGGGCTCCCTATGTGGCTCTTACATGGCGGAGGTCTGGCTTCCAGCCTGGTCAGAAGGTGGAGACATTGAGGGAGAGGAGTAGCAAGGGGTAGGGCCTTGTGTGGAGGGCCTAAAGTCCACCTCAGCTCCATGCACCTGGGAGATGCTGGTGCCACCCTGATGCTCAGGCAGGCATGAAGCAGCGCCACAGAAATCTGGGACAAATGCTGTCCCAGAGTCATTCCGTTCAGGCCTGGAAATTGAACTCTGCATTTAGGGACTGTTCTGCCCCAGAATGACTGATCTGAAGCATAGCTGCATTCTCCTCTATTTTCATCACTACCAAAGAGAGCTCCTACCAAGTATTTTTTCAGAGTTTTTTTTTTTTTTTTTTTTTTAACTCCTATGTGACTGAAACTGAAGAATAGCATAGAAGGGGCAAAAATGTGTGCTGAGGATACTGAGGAGAAACCTTTCTCCTTATTTGCTATAACTGTCTAAAGACAAAGTAAGTTTGGAAAGGAATATTACAAATTGTTTAAAAAAGAAGCCCATTCTGAACCACTTTGCAGCCTTTGAGTGTCACTAGTGGGTCTCCTTGTAAAAGGCCAATGTGAAGTAAGGACCCATCTGTCAAGTACTGCAATGTGTGAAGTTTTTCCAAATGAAATGAGAAGGAAGCCCCAATTTTGAGGGATTGTTTTGAAAGAAACTAGGAAATTCTAGGTATAGAAAAGATAATGGATGATTAGAAATAACAGCAGTGACTGACACAAGTCTAATTTCCAGTACATGGAGGAAATTCTGGCTACATTGTGGTCAATAGGAGTTTGTCATTCAGCACAGTGAAGTCAGGATTTACCATGTAACTTTACACCTTGTACTGTTAAACAAGGTGCTTTCAGATTTATGGCTTTTCTTGTTAAAGTATGTTGGTGGGTTTTTTAAAAAACGTTGCCAAAAACTGGTGGGCTAGGATGTCCCACTGTTTCTTTGAGTTTTTAAAAGTTATTTAAAAGCGTGGAGATGGGGAAGAAGATCTGTGAAATGAAAAACACTGTGAAATGAGTTAATTCATTACGTATTCTTGTCCCTCTGTTTCTTAGGGGTGCATTATGTATTTGACACAACTATAGCTGCTGATTTCAGTATCCTGGAGAGTCAGAAGGAATTTATTCAGCGGTATCGACAGCAGAACCAGGAGGAACATGCCTTGCCAATGTTTGCCTCTGCTTGCCCTGGTGAGAAATCAAGTTCCTAACTGTAGTATTGTACAGTCCCCCAGTTATTACTACTAAAATAAAAATAATGTCATTCTAGTTGTGTCCCCTGTAGTGTGTAAAGGTTTTTGGTCTGTATTTCAAGGATTCTGAATCTTACAGCATACATGCTCCACTCTTGTATGTAGTAATAATACGTGATAGCAGTAAGGTGACCAGATGTCCTCCTTTGAGGACAGTCCTCCTTCTGAGGGGCTTGTCCTCCCCAATAATTATGTCCTCCTTCTTGTCTTACTTTGCCACAAAAAAAAAAAAAATCCCGGCTTTTTTTTTTTTTTTTTTTTTTTCTCCGACCAAAAAATAGCATCTGTCCGGTATTTTTTGGGAGACCATCTGGCAACCCTAATATACAAGTATGTTGTTTGTTTGTTTTGTCAACTCAGTGTCCTCCTCGCGCAATTTCAAATTCTGGTCACCTTAGATAGCAGTGACAGATTACTCTTTGGCCTGTGCCCTGTGGTCCCAATCATTTGGGAATCAGGAGGGTTGGGGCTTCTGTAGCTGCGGAGGTGGGGGGTGAGATTTGGGGGGGGCCCAGAGCAGAGCTAGAGATAGTGCTGAGCTGGGCTCTGCCGTACCCCCCCATAACATTCCTCCAGGCCTCATGGAGAGCGGGGGGTGCCCCACAGTTTCAGGACCATCGCCCTAGGCTTTGGTAAGAGCTACCAAGGCAGCTGTGGGGAGTCCCAGTTTGGCAGGGGGCCAGAGTGCCTGAGAGCAGCTCCCAGCTCTTGTGCCTGCCCTTGGCACGTGGGAGGTCCAGGGCTCCTCTCAGTGACCCGGTCTCCTGGGGCAGCTCTTACAATGGGCCAGCTTCTGGCAAGGCCAAGGGGTAAAGAGGAGTAGCAGGAGGTGGTATCCCATGGTGGGGGGCGATACACTGGGGGCCTGAACACAAAGAATTTCAGGCCCCTTACTAAATCATGCTTGGCATCTATAATGCTGATCAAATGTTTTGCAGACACAGAACTAGATTCAGCCCTGGGCTTAACAGTCTGCTGGGATGGCAGAAAATGTGCGTGGGGACAGGGGTTTGGTACCGCAAGTCACACGCAGCTGCTTATCTGCCAGGGAGCTGGCCCAGCCACAGAAGTGAGCACTGTAGATAGGGAGAGTGTGGTCAGGTTGGACATGGACTGTGCTGATCATTGCCTCCCCTAGGCAATTTGACATGGGGATTGTCATAGGGAGCCCCAACTGCAGGTTAAAGTTGTTGTCACTCTGCAGAAATGTGAGAGGTAAGAAGTGCAAATACTGTCTTCCCTCCCCTGAGTGTGAATTCTACCAAGATCTCTTGTATGTTGTTGATTTAGAAGCTTCAGGGTGTAGCCAAGTTAGTGTGTACAAGATAAACTTAAAAAACAACAAATGGTCTGGTAGCACTTTATAGACAAACAATACATGTAGATGGTATCAGGAGCTTTCGTGGCACAGCCCACTTCAGATAACCAGAGATTTGAGTTTAGGATGTGCAGACCCAAAAAAATAGAGCGGGGGGGAGGGAGGGAGAGGAGGAAAAAAGGAGGAGGGTGGGAGACAGAGCTAGAGAAAATCAGTAAATACCTGAAGATTGGGTGGTTAAAACGAAGCAGATACTATCAATTGACTTTGATTCTTATCATTCCTGACATAGGAGTCTACACAATCGTTCCTGGCATAGGAGTCTACCCAAAGAGCTGTTTGCACCTTCAATGACTGTTAAGTTGATAGTGCCCCAACCATCCTTCATCACAATTGAATCCATTAGCATGTGAATTGAATTTGAGGATGAACTCTAATTCCAATGTTTCTCTTTGTATCTGGCTAGTAGAACTGGTTTGTGACAAGGCAGCCACTTGAAGATCTTTTAAACAGTGATTAGGAAGATTAAAGTGTTCCCCAATAGATTTCTGTATATTTCCTTTACGTGTATTTGATTGGTGTCCATTGATTCTTTCCTGCAGAGACTGTCCACTTTGTCCAATATATATAGCAGTGGGGCATTGCTGGCATTTGATGGCATAGATCAAATTACTGGATGTGCAGTCAAAATGACCTTTTGATTTGGTAGCTTATGATGTTGGCTCTAGTGATGAATTTGCTAGTATAGATATGTGGGCAGAGTCGGTATAGTGTTTGGTTGTAGGGCTGGGTTTCCTGGATGCTTACGATGTGGTTGTGTGGCATGATTACTGGAAAGAATTTGTTTCAGGTTGGGGGCATGTCTGTAAATAAGAATAGACTTTTCTCCCAAGAGTGAGGGATCATTTTCCAAGACAAGTTGTAGATTGTGTATAATGCGCTGGAGAGGTCTGAGTTGTAGATTATAGGTAATAACAAGTAGATTTCTGTTTTCTCTTTTGGGTCTGTCTTGAAGTAGTTCATGTCTGGGTATGTTTTTGGCTCTGTCAGTTTTTTTTTTCACTTCCCCAGCTGGGTATCGCAGTTTTATGAATGCTCTGTAAAGATCCTGTAGGTGATTGACTCTGTGGGGTCAGAGCAAATCCAGTTGTATCATAGGGCTTGGCTATATACAATCAACTGAAAAATGTGTCTGGATGGGAGCTGGAAGCATGAAGGTAAGTGTAGCGGTCTGTGGGTGGTTGAAAGTTATCCATTATTTCACTTTACTGTAGTGTTCAGGAAGTGGATTTCCCTTCGTCCAACATCTCAGAAGGAGTCTGAGCCACCTTAAGGAGTTCTTGGTTTGAATCATGGTTAGACCACAGAACTTTCCCCACTACATCATGCATCTCTCACTCTGTGGTTTTATCTCTGCCTTCATTTTCTTTGCATTCAAAATTTCCTGTTGAAAAACACCATTAAGAAAAATACACTTTTACTAACTACTTTCATTAGAAACAGTGACTTCCGTTAACTCATACAAAGTTTTTAACTTGTCACTGGAGCATGGAAGGAAATGGTGACATGAAACTGTGTTAATGTTGAGTGTGTGAGATGGAACAATTATTTTAATTCTGAAGGGAAACCATCAATTTGAAATATCACACATTTTTTTCTCAGAATTTGTATGTCTACTGTTGTTTTAGGGAATACCTACCATTAATAGAACTGAAACAAGTTAAAGAGGACAGTGTTTTTTTTGTTTCCTTTTTTGTTTACTTTGAGTAGTCAGTTACACTATTCCCCATACCCTCAGTTAATCAGTTTAGCCCAGATCCTTAAAGGAAGTTACTCGCCTAACTCAACAGCAGCGAGGTGCCTAAATATGTTTAAAAATCTGGCCTATCTCACCTGCTGAAAAATCCCTTATAAATACCAACAAAGGAGCAGAAAAAAACTTTTTATCAATACAAGTTGTGTGTTTCAGGACATGTTTTAAGAAGTGTCGTACTCTATCAGGAAACAAATTAAATGTCACTTTTAAACTAGTTCTACTGGGCAATATTCCAGTAAGGAAATAATTATTATAAAAGAGATGCAAGGTGAATTACAAATGAATCATGTTCTTCTTGGAGGGTTGCCAGTCTCCATAACATGACATTATCAATAAATGTAAAATGTGTGGGCATGTAATTTTGAATGGATTATTTTCTGGGAAACTATGGGGTTTTTTAAAATTATAATCTTACATTTTATTGTGTAAAGAGAAGTATCTGTGGGTGAATAATTTGTGTATATTCTTTGCTGGATGTATTGAAGATACATTCATGAGTGATTACTCATGTGCATTCCAACAGGTGTGTGCACACATACGTACATGATTGCTGGGGAAAGCTTTTATCCTAGCAGTATCCATAGGGCTAGCTGTGGAGCCCCCTGGCATGGTGCAGCTATGATGGTGAATGTAAGACACAGCCGACTCCTCTCTCTCCTCTCCCTCACTTCCACTTTCTGTTCCTTCTTACCACGCATGATGGTCACAGGAACAGCTCCGGTCTCTTGCTTAGCAAGTGACTCAGTACCCTAGTGTTACATAGTTGTAGATAGTTTGTTCAGAATTATATAGTTAGTTTTGTTTGTATAGTTATTGGTTGTAGTTGTGTTAATGGGGTTCCCCACACACACACACTTTAGCCCCTTCATTGGGGAATGCCGTGTTTCCAAGGTTTCAAATCTGCAAGAACTGTGGCAAGCCTATGCCTACGGGCGACCCCCATGTTGACTCTGCCTTAAGTGTCTGGTTGAAAGACACCAGATGGACAAATGCCGCATTTGTAGGACCTTTTGTCCTCGTACCAAGAAGGCATGAGACTACTGCCTCAAGCACCTCGTAATACAAGTGGCATTGCAGCCCCTGTCACCAGTGGTGCGCAGTGCTCCAACATCTGTGTGAGACCCAGCACTGAAGAAGCACTCGGGACACAGACACTGGTCCTCCCACCATGCGGGGTCCAGTGCGCAGCACCATTCCCGATACCCAGTGCTGGCCAAGAAAAGGGAAGTGGACAGAGACTGGTCGCCAGTTAAGGCACAGCGCGAAGTACTTAGTGGGGCATGTCTGGCACAGGGGCACCCACATGCTGCACTGCTGTTCACGACACCATTGGCTCCAGCCCAACTGCTGAGCCTGGTGCACTTGTAGTCTCCCTGGGTGGAGACCATCTAGAGAAGGACATTGATCTTCCATCAATGGCAGACATGTTTGTGGCTACCAGGGACCTTATTGCCATGATGACCCAGTCATCACCCTAGCCTGCAGCTCTGCATGAAGGGCAGTTGTGTGCCTTCCTCCGCTGGACACCCAGTTGGGAGGAGCACCAGCACAGATGCCGCAAGCTTCGCAGATGGTGGCACCGAGGTTGGCACCATCATTAAGGATGCCCTCATCATCATCACCGCTAATGATTTTGACCACTGTGGTAGACCCATTCATTGCAACTTCAGTGCGTGTGGTGCCATTGGTTTCAGTATAGCTGACTACACTTCCAATGCTTGCGATGCAGTGCCACTGCCGGCAGTGCTGCAGGCATCTAATGCTTGCGTCTCTGATGGTGACAACATCTTTCATAGTAGCACTG